CCCGGGCCCGGGAGCCCCTCCGCGGCTTTGCTCTGCGTCTTCCTGGTCTGCAGACCAGGGAGACGCAGAGAAAGCCCCAGAGTACACGGGCGGCAGGACTGCGAGGTCCCGCAGTCCGTGTACTCTGGGGCAGCCCCGTTCGTAACTGCGGATCCGACATAAGTCGGATCCGCGTAAGTCGGGGACTGCCTGTAATGGTGAGCTGAAGGACTTCTTACTCCAACTCCTGCAACCCTCATTTTATGAGGAGTAGGAGAAGTCAAAAGAAGAGTGCTCTTCCTTCGACTTCCTGCTGTGTAGACCACACCACAAGCCAAATTAAGCTATTTCAACATAAGATATGTCATTCATGTAGAATAGTGATAGAAATGTAGCCGTGTTAGTCTGGGGTAGCTGAAGCAAAATGCAGGACAATGTAGCACTTTAAAGACTAACAAGATGGTTTTTTAGATGATGAGCTTTCGTGGGCCAGACGCACTTCCTCAGATTATCTTACCCATCACAAAGATAGCTTCCCCAATTATCACCTCTAATATCATTAGCTCACAGACATTTACCTCCCCCCCCCCCCTATGTGATTTGTCCTTTTCATATTTGTTCATTTTTTTTAATTGTATCCTTTGGTATATATGGTTGTGACAGTTTTCTTCCACTATTTGATCTGAGGAAGTGGGTCTGGCCCACGAAAGCTCATCATCTAATAAACCATCTTGTTAGTCTTTAAAGTGCTACATAGTCCTGTATGTCATTCATGTAGATCAAGTTGCGTAGCTTAGTTTGACTTGTGCCCTGCTGTGTAGATAGAAGTGCCCTTAGAGACTAACAAAAATATATATAGTATCATCTGAAGAAGTGGGTTTTGCCCACGAAAGCTTATAATACAATATATATTTTTGTTAGTCTCTAAGATGCCACAGGGTTACTGGCTGTTTCATCCTAATGAGTTTAGTTCCCCTCTGTATTTTTTCTTCATGAGAATATTTGGGTCCGATCTTGTAGTGTCTTTTTGTTTCCTCAACAAAAATCCGTATTATGGCTTTATAAAACTCCACAGCATCTGAAACATGTATATGTGTTTTTCTTTCTTTAAACCCATTAATCCAAATTGATCAAAGTGGTCTTTTTTTGAAAAAACTTCACCTGCGTCTAGACTGCAGCCGCGTTTTTTTCAAAAGTAAATCGAAAGAACGCAGCAGTTTTTCTGATCGCGGTAAACCTCAATTTATGAGGAATAATGCCTTTTTTCAAAAGTTTCTTTCGAAAAAGCGGCTCACTTTTTCAAAAAAATCTGCTTGTAGTCTAGATGCTCCCTTTTGAAAGATTCTTTCGAAAAAGCTTCTTTCGAAAGAGGTTTGCAGTCTAGACATAGCCTCCGGGTCAGGAGTTCAGGACTGTATGCGATTGGTTTAACTTTTACCTATAGGAATTAAAAGTGACAACTTCAGGGCAATTTTCATTTAGTTTTTTATAAAACCCAGGGATCGGGGATTTTAATTTCAAAAGTGCTTGGCACATACTGTTACCAGCAGGCGACACTCTTGAAAATGATGCCCAGAAAAGATCAATAGAAATATCTCCAAGTACTTTTAAAATACATGAAAGTGCAGCGATTTAATAGAGAAATTCATACTGGATATAATGATCTTTAGTGTTCATATACTATTTTATAATCATTAATTAATCTCAACCACACTTTTGTGAAATAAATGATATCCTTGTATTACAAACAGATTAACTGAATCCTAGGCTTATCATGCCAAGGACACAGAAAGGCAGGTGATGAACCAGGGTTAGAAACGTTAAATAACAGTTGACTGAATAGTCAATTAACCTCATGACTTCTTAGTGGTTACTTAACTATTCTATAATTCCTGGGGGTGAGGCTAGCAACCAGTGTGCTCTGGCCCCCACTCCCATGGAGTCCCCTGCCAGTCCGCGCTGCTGCCTCTGTATTAGGACCTAAGACTTGGTTCATTTATCTTCTTTAATGGTTTATCAGATTGAGAGATCAGATCTATCACTTCCTCTGCTTGCTTTCACAGTGGAAAGTAGTACTGCTTTGTGATAGATTTCTGAAGAGTCTCAGATCAGTAGTTTTTTCACTTGTGATACCAATTTGTCCTATTTTCACCTTCCATTTAAATAGGTAAACTGAGAAGAAATTAAAACAGCAAGATGTTTTTTTTTAATTTCAACTGTGAAAACAATGTGACTCATTTCTAATTGCTACTTGTAATCCCAACTACAACACTGCATAATAAGACTCCCTTACTATGGGTTGGAAAGGAAGAATATAAAAGTCACTGCAGCAGTCCTATGTCACTAATAAAGGGGGAAAATTTCCACTGGCTGGCAAAGCCCCCTGTTAAGGTTGGTTCTGCACCATGAGGTTAGCAAAGCAATTTAACGGGCCTGAAGATCTGGCAACTGTATGCATATAATGTGACTACGTTAATGTAGGAAGCTAAAGATGTGCATTTCTGGACTTTGTCTCACTGTACTACCTCATCACATTGCATTACTGTAGAAGGTCTGTTTTTTTAGAATAGTGGTAGAAATGTAGCCGTGTTAGTCTGGTGCAGCTGAAACAAAAAACCATGTTATATATGGTTGTGACAATTTTCTTCCACTATTTGATCTGAGGAAGTGGGTCTGGCCCACGAAAGCTCATCACCTATTAAACCATATTGTTAGTCTTTAAAGTGCTACACAGTCCTGTTTTTTGCTTTTTTAGACTGGCAGTTGTGTCATGTTCCTGTTTTGCATCAGTGATTGCAAAGTTGCACTGACAGTTCTGGGAATCCTTCAGTTTAGGTCAGGACCAGTGCCAAAAAAGATCTACTAGGCTACGTCTAGACTGGCATGATTTTCTGCAAATGCTTTTAACGGAAAAGTTTTCTGTT